CCCCGCCATGATGGTGTTTAGTGCATCAAGATATGGTGCTGTATGCACCTAGAATTAAAAATCAGTTAGTGTTAAAGATGTGTTTAGACATTGCACTCTTCCAAATCTAAAACCAAGCTACACATAAATTTAGGTTGCAAATTCTACACTGTTACATAGTTGCCTTTGTATGAGTCTGCAACAGGATATGCCCCATCCATCCTACAGCAAAGAATAGCAAAGAACTGTAGGTCACAGGACACAGACCACAACTCTCATGAGGCTCCACAGCAAAGTTCACAATTGCAGGTATTTGTTTATGCCTACAATTTGTTGATCCCCCTTGGGGAGGAGTGAAGACCTTCAAAAATATAGCTTATGTTTTGGAAACAGGTTAGAATTTGTATCCGTGCTTAAGCTGTCAATATGTAAAAGGCATTTTGTGTGACAGACATTGAACAGTAAAGTCTCAGGGTCACATTCCACATAGATGTATACACAGAGCATCCTCAGAAACTTGAGAAGGGCAATATAGGGAATAGGTTAGGATGGAATTAACCTTCTATGCCTGGAGGGATTTCCCTACCCTGCAGCCTAGTTTTGTCGAATGGTATCCAAGGCAGCTATACACAAAGTAGCTCAGATGCTCTAGCAGTAAAATAACAAGAGCTCAGGGGGCAGATCTACCTGGCTTCTCAGCAGATTGCAGTGTGGTTTAAGCTCAGCTAAAAATTCAGAGGCAACATCTGCTAGTATTTATGATGACATTGCTTCCTATAATTGCAATGGCATAAGTGAGTTGAAATAACCTAATAGGCTTATCAAAGAAAAAGGAAATTTGTTAAACAGTAGAATCTTAGTTCATGTTCATTTTTTCATACCAGTAAAGAAGTAGAGGTTTCACTACTTCAGGCTGAATCCGTCTTAAATGCCTTATATTCCACTGATCTCCATGCAGTAGATCAAGTCTGAGTAACACTTCTGAACTGAGGAAATAGTCTCCACTGCTCAGCAGATAGAGTTTTTTCATCTTACTGAGTTGCCTTGAGTCAACAAAAATAGTCACACAAGCATGTGTCAGATGCTATACAGAGCTAAGTCCAGTTCATCCTACTGGTTAAACTGCTGTCATGCAACATGTTTTTAATTGCAAGTGGCAGAAGCCAAAACAATTTTTCCACAAATTAGAGACAGGTTGTGTATAAGATAAAATGTGCAGTGCCTTAGAATAGACAATCTGAATCCAGCAGAGCTTTTCACTAAAGCAGTTTGTCATACTGAATGCCCTGCTTGTGAATTTAAATTCTTTTATTCTTGTTTGTTTGTTTGTTTCTGTTGCCATCTCTTTTCCAAATCTCTTTCTAACAAAGCCTTAATAATACAGCAATTCTGACTTTATGTAAGTTTTGCAAACATGACTCTGCAAAAAGAGTTTTATCAGCTTCAGCAGAGTCATTCCTGACTTACCTTGTCAGGACACTCGTGATTACTTTAATTGTGTCTGTTCTATTCGAACATTACAATTTATTCTGAAATCTCAAAACCTGCATTGATCTAGCTGGGTTACAAGTGTTAAAACAATGGGAATAAACATTAAATGATGGGAAGTACCTTTGCTGCCTTGTAGTGTCCTTAAGAGCCTTTAGTCTTTCAATATCCATCCAGAGCAACCAGTACCTCTCCCCCAGTGTTCCCTTAATGAACTTCTTGAATCTTTCAAACTCGTGTCTGTTGCCAGTGTCATAAGTCCTGTGACTAATACACCAGGAAGCCCTACTGTCTGCCCCATCACTCTCAGAACTTGATCTTAAGTTTATTTCTTCAGTATCTCGTTCTCTGACATCTCCCTTGGAGTTCAAGGCAGTAAATGGAGAAGAACTTTGGGAAAAGAGTGACTCTGCAGTACCACGGGCAAATTCATTATTTGCTAATTCATGTATAAACACTTCAGGCAGTTTGTGGAAATCTACATCACTCTCAATGTCAGCAGCTGGCTGGCGGGTCAGTTCTGAAATAGGTTCCTTCATTACAAACTGAGCATAAGCTGGTATGAATTCTTCTGGTGCTCTTTCCTGTCCATTTTCTTCTTTTGCTGCACTGTCCCATTTTGGGTCTAGATAAACTCTTAACTGAGTGTGGGAAGGAGGTTCAGCAATGGCCACAGAAGAACCCTCCTCAGCCTCTTTGGATCTCTCCCTAAAAATGTCGGGTTTTGCTGATGCTGTCCTTGAATGGGAAAGGAAACTCCGTTGGTGCCATTCCTTAGACAGGGAGCCTGCTTCTGCATTAAATCAGAAAAAGTCATTGAACACCTTTTGATTCAGGATTGTTCTCTTGCATATCAACATTTCCAAGTTAAAAGATGCAACATATTTATATTGTGCTGCTGCAGAACAATCAGACCATGTCACGCTGCAGAACAGGGAATAGCAGAGGTGCTTCTGCTGTTGCTATCTGGCTAGAAACTCAGCCACATGACTCAGAAACTCATTCCCTGTTGAATTCCAGCAGAGCAGCAGAGTTCAGGAACAACTCCCTCTGGAGCCAATTGTCTTGTTTACTCAGCTGAGCATCCTAGCTCCTCAGCACTTGTTAACCCACTTTTTTGTGCTGCAAGGCCTGGTTTCTTCCTGAGAATTTGGTCATAGTTTGATCAAAGTCACAGTATGTAGCAGGATTGGTTTTTGTTTAGGCTTGAGGAAGCTAGTAAGTGATAATTCTTTGTCTACTTACGTTGATTACTGCAAAAGACTAAAGCATCGAACAGGCCTCTGTCAGTTGGGTAATATCTTGCCATACATAGAAGGACAACAAAACAAATTATTACGTCAAGGGCTCTGGAAACATTTAACAATTCTGCAGTCCAGTCTACCACCCAGAAATGTCTCCTTTCCATTTAGAGATGTTTCATAACTAACAAGTTCAGAGCAGTACCAGCCCTGTTTTTTGGTCTATACTTCTCTACTTAATTCCTTTTAACTGACATCTCATCGTCCCAATGCTATTAAGCATGCCCTGCCATCCTGGTCTACTGAGAAAGAAACTTACTGCTTTAACTTGCTCAAATGTCTTTTCTACTTCTGCCAGAGTTTTAGCAAATCAAATACTTCTGGAGCATGTTAGGAAAGACAACCTTGACTATACGTACTGCTTAGCTATCTTAATGCTGTACAAGTCAGCACTGTAAAACTGAGCAGAACAACTACAGATATTGTGAACAGCAGCAGAATCTAAGTGAAAGTAAAAAAAATGAAAGTCATAATTCAATTGTGGCTCTACAATATCTTCATATCAATCCAGTGTTTAAACTACAGAATAAACTGAATCTTCTGTATTTCCCTAAAGCTAAGATGTAGGCTTTCATACTCTGTTGTATGACTAAGGCAAACACATTGTCAGTGAGGAGACTGCTACAACCTCTGAGCACATGCACTACATCAGATAGTGACAGAAAAGGGCTAAATCTCTCAGATCCATTGAATTCACATTTGTAATGTTATCAGCCTATGTAACCCCCTGTAGTGGGTACACAGGGGTTACTCAATAAATGGCAATGGCAGTTAGACATTCCTTCCATCTTCCTCTGAAAATATGCCACATCTAACCAGTGCTGGCCACTGTCACAGACAGACACTTGGGTTAGGAACATGGCATAGAGATTCCCTGCTCTGCACTTACATAATTTCATGTGTAAATACATATGTTGGCACAATATGTTGACATTAATATAAAAATCAGTGTGATTTAAAATATCTTTTCTTATTTCTAAACTATGTTTTCACTTGAAAAAGTACAGCTTCTCAACATAGTTCTGTGAAATTGAAACATGAAGAATGATTTCACAGGACTTGAGGGAATTAGGGAGGGAGATACACAGCTCTTGAGTAATCAAAAGCCAAGTGGCTCAGGGTTTTGCTCAAGACATTAACTGATAACCCTGATCTAACTGAAGCAGTGAGCAAGGAATTCAAACTAGATTGTCCAAGCAAATACCTTCAGCTATTGAACTCTTTCTAATTGTAGGCTGGCTCTGAGAAACTTAGCTGATTCCCTTTACGGCTTCCAGTGCCTGACCCCTACACCAGGTGAATACTGTGCCTAAAGAAAGTTTTCTGACTGAAAGAATGCTGAATTTCCCATGAAATAAGCATAAAGAGGAGTAATAAGCACATGTAAAATGAAAGTCTATGTTATAAAATAAAGTTTTCAGTGAGAAGATGGAAAATATTAATTGAGGCAAAATGCTGTTGACTGCAGGACAACTGCAGCAAAAGCAGAAACAGAGAGGCTTTCCATAGGCCTACGGCCAGCCCACTGCAATACAGAGCTACACTACATTATGATGCTCTGCAAGAATGGTGCACTTGTGAACTCTCTGCTCAAACCACTGCAAAAATTAGTGGTAGAGTCATGAGCTGCAAACAAGTGCAACTTGAATAACTTAATAATCCGTGCATCAGCAGTGTATTTCCTGGGGTGATCCTCATGGGTTTGAGGAAGAAGACAGACTTCTGGAGTTACCATGTCTTCCAATTTTCCATTCAGCCATTGGACTCCGAGGTCCCATCAGTGCAAGTTTTGAAGTGGAATGGCTGCATTTTCCTCTGAGAATGGGGAAGAGAGAACTCCTGACATATGAGCTGAGACTTCTCTGTTCATCTTGCTACTGCCTACAGAGCAGAAACAAGGCTATGCAATCAGGTATGTCCATATGTGCATCTGTATGTTCTCTCCCGGTACCTTTGAAACCTGCAAAAAAAAATTTGATGGGTAGACAGGAGTGTCAGAATAAGATTCATAAAAATTGGCAGCCAAAAGGCCTTTAAGTGCCCAACATAAATACCCTAAGAAGATGGCTGCAACACAAATCATACATTATCAAATACCCAAAGAATCCAGACAAGAAAGTCTTTCAAAATATATCAAATGGGGAAAAAAAAACCCTCAGCTGAAACTGATAGACATCTTATGAGACAGAAATGTATATGAAAAGAGGCTTCTACTATCACAAAATTACTTGGCTACTAGCTCAAGTTTTCATTTAATGTTGTGGCTATGGAAAGAAACAAATGTCTGTCTAAGGCCTAAGATACCATACGACACTCAGAATGTAATAAGTGGAGTTAGCAGCAATTCCTTGGAATGCCTTTTCTTTCCACCTAGTCAGAGTTGTGTTATAAATACTATGGCTGAGCCCCTGCTACTTACCCAGAAGGCTATCTTTTTCGCTTAATGAATCATCTCTTTCATGCTGCCCAGGCAAACACTGAATATCTTGAATTTGGCTAGAAGCTACAGGATGCATAAATGAATCTGTAGTTTTCATGGATTCACTTCGTTTTGCTAACGTAAACCAATCCTTTGTCTGAGAAACTGTAGCCTAGAAAAAGAAATGTCATAGAATAATTCAAATTTCTCTATTGCACTGTTTCTGAGAGCAGAGGGCTTACTGTCTGTAGTTATTTTATGCAGTCTGTTTGTGTAGATTTCTGTACCAATGATTCCCAGCGAAGAGAGCTGTATGACAGTAGCTGAGCATGCTTGTAACACAGCTTCTGTTTAAGCTGTATTACAAGCCATCAACCTTCTTCTATCGTACAAAGAGCTTTGAAGATAAGGGATATTCAGAGAAATCAGTTGTCCAATTAGGTTGTGACCTCGTTTACAATAATTTAGCCCAATGCATTCAATCTAGCTTGATATTAACACCCACTGAACATGTTTAGTTTACCTGGCCAAGCGATACATAGAACTTCTTCAAGGTCAATGAAGTGTCATCCTCCTCAGGAGGGGGAGAACTTGGGTCTTGCTTCCTTATCCAGGGATAGTAGTCACTATCTATAATGAAATTAATGCCAGTCTTGCTCCATTCTACCTGTGATATCAATTTAGCTAGCCTGAAATTAAACATTGTGACAAGAAAATAATTAATTTTATCTTTTAGTCAGAGAAACAGTCAATTTTTCCCTAGAATAGGCAATAAAACCCATGATCACTCTAAAAATAAATTTCTACAAGGAACTTCATGATCTCCTTTATTATTTCATCCCTCACCTGCTATCACATATATAAACGCCAGTACCGCCATTCCATAACCCAGCTTTACAGTTGGTGGCCTGCTTTGTATTATCAAGCTTTACCAGTAAAATTGATTTCTGTCAGGATGATTTTGCATGTATCTACGCAGTCCCAAGCCCTGCCAAGAAGCCCTTGAACATTTTGGTTGTTTAAATGGAACTATTCTCCCAGATTGCAGAAGCCCTGTGTCACTACAAGACACTACATTTCCTGGTCCTGATACAAGCAATCTTTCAGCAGCAATGCCACAGCAGTGATCATACTAATTGAACTTTCAGATGATAACAAGACAGCTGGCGCTACCATGTTCAGCTGGTTGCTATATGAGGACTTCATAGTACTGAACAACACTCCAGTGCTACCTTGTGTTAGTGTGAACCTTGCAATGTTCAGGAAAGGCAATCCTAGAACCACATGGCAATAATGAGGATGCCCTAGGCTCAAGAACTGTGGCAGAACTTACTCAAGTTAGAAAGCAGTACAAAACTAACAAAGGTGCATGTGAAGAGAAGAAGCAGCCTATGCCTGAGCCTTTGAGCATGAGCTGAATACCCAGTTTCATTTGTCCCCATTATTTGAGGACAAACAGGATTTCATTCTAGGGTTGGGGTATCCTCATCTTTAAATGCAAGTTTCTCCTTTAGCATCTCAGCCTATCTTGATCCTGATTCAGGAAAGCAACTTAAAATACTGATGTCAATGGAAATTAGGCATATGTTCAAAGTTAGTTTTATGTAATTAGGTAGCTTTGATTGATCAAGGGAATACTTTGCTGTAGCAGAAGATCAAATTTTTAGTGTCTCATGAGGCCCAGATACGTGTAAAGCAGGCTGCTATTAAAGGTAAAATGGAGCACTTTCACAGTTTGTTTATTCTTTGCAGTTTTCCCCTTGAATTTAAGTGCAGTCTTTGGGATACTGAAAGTTAAAAATACTTTGAAATTTTTCAAGCAGAAGTCCATACCACAGTAACTAGTCTGTCATTACAATTGCCAAACATGAGTTTTGTGAACCCTAATGCCAGGCTGCCTGTCCTTGTAGGACCCCTAAAAGACACTACAGTTATCAGCATCTAGACACAACCTTGAGGGATGTAGAGGCAAATCCTTCCAAAAAGCACACTAAACCTCCTGAACATCTGCTGAAAGGACATCTGGAAAAATATAGCAAGTGTATAACTGTAAATCATCCAACTATGCCACAGCATCTGCCAGAGAACCTTGCAAAAGGAAGTCTGACCATAAACCCAGAGATACAAAACTAATAATTGAAATAAAAAGGACTGGCTGTTTTTTCCAAATAGATTTCATTGATTCGTATCTTTCACTTATATGGCCTCCATATTAATTAGAGAGAATGCATTGCTACTGTGATATCTCAGTGGAACAGAGATTCAGAAATCAGCAAACCCCACTCTTTCACTCTGTAATGGTGTAATATAGTATGTAGCTCATGGTCAAGAAAAATTACAGAATGATGAGTGAAAAAATTCACTGATTTTACTTTATCCAGGTCACTAAAATGCTAAAATTGAATAGGACAAGAAGTGGGAGAAAACGTATTAAAGGTACCATCAAGATGAATTAGACAGAAGAGAAAAATGTACAAATTTAAAACTGAGAGGCAGCATAAAAGATTGCAGTACCTGTATTCAAAGTAACAGTCACTTTCTAGAAATGCTGGAAGCCTTTCTTTCTTAATCCACTGAATTGCTTGTTCTCGATCAAGACACTGTGAAAAAAGATATGCCAAAGATGTGCAGAATTCTTCACTTTCTTGTTTTGTTTGCCATGTAACTGATTTTCTCCATCCCCCTTCCACAGAAGCATTGTCTCAGGAAGACAAATACACAGTGAACATCGCCTTCATTGTCCAGTTTAGCCTTAATCGTGCTGGGACAATTGAGTTACTTTACCTTCCGATTAACAGCTAACAAGGTCTAAATCTGATTTCACCTGTAAGTATACCACTTTTTAAAGAAATCGTGAGTGTTTTTTCTTCAGAAATAATGTGTACATGAATCATGCTTTTACTGTACAATTCCAAATGCAAGTTAGATGCTCATAAATTTTCTGCAATAGGAAACTGCTAATTTTTCTGACTTTATCGTATTTTATAAATAACCACTATTACATTTTTCCTCAAACATTTGAGGAGTAAGAAACCCTTAAGTTAAATTATACTCCCAGGATGGGAAAGCTGTGGATATTAAAAACAAAATCAAACAAATAAGAAGCCAATCAGTTATCACCTTTCCCGCTTTTATTAGTTATTGCATAACTGTGTTGCACACAGTAACTCTTGTAGTGGAAACCTAAGTGCATTATGAATTAGGCCCATAACAGATTTCTGCTCAGGCAGTCTAAGCCTCAGTGCCTTGTCAAAGCAGAAAGTGAGGTGCCTCCAAAGATTGGTTTGGGGGTGGAAGGGAGGTGTTGAGCAGCGAACTACACAAAGCCAGCTAACCAAAAAACCATGCCTTGAGTCTTACACAGAGAGCAAGCTCTCTGTCTATCGGCCACAGTGATCCATAGCTGTTTCCTTTAGAAATGACACACAGCACACTTTTTTTTTTTTTTTTTTAAGAGCATACATTTTCCACTCTTAGGGGATGACCTGTTTTATTTATCTGAGGTGCATTTTTCCTTTTAATGAAGGTGAGGCTGATGATTTGGAAGAATGCAGTAACACCACTTGTCCATAAAAACAGGTGAAGTTTGGGCAAGGATGGATGCTACTTGCTTTATCAAATAATCAGTTCATGTAGATGACATTTTAAATTTTCTTTCCATGAGCTAATATTCCATTAGGGACAAGGGTTATTTCTGCCTCATATATATCTGTAGGGGATTAAAAAAATCTGAATTACTCAGAAAGTGGGTGGTTTCATTTAGAGAGAAGAAAATATTTCAAAATGTGGAAAGCTTATGTTGGCAGTGGCTCATACAATGTAATTTGTGAGGATGGAGACTAATTACTCCCAACCACACAGTGTATGCCTCTTTTTGGTAACTGACAAGCTTTTTTGAAATACAGAGGATCGTCTCTTTATTTTGGCATTTAATATTTATGTATTTACTGACTCACAGCCCAGTTTTTTATCTGATGATGATTCATAACATGTTCACGTCTGTACATGGCTGGTACACAAAATTATATATACTATCAGAAGGAAAAAACCTCTACTTTCCCCTTCCCCAGCAAAAGACGCTACATTTAATCTGATGGGTTTTGTAACCTTGGTTAGCTTCCTTACCCAGTTAGCCTTAGGCCTTGCTGGGACACAATCCAGCAAAGCTTTTAGCACGTGTTTAAGTTTAAGCATGTGTTTAACTTCCCTTGATTAAAGTTAAACACATACTTAAGTGCTTTGCTGAACTGGGGTTTCTCTGAAGTAAGGTATGTGGGATGCCAGCCAGTTTCCTTCCATAGTTGTGATCAATTCTACCCAGCTCTGCAGGTTTGTTTTTTTAATATATTTTATGCCAATTTGATTTTTACTATTATTAAGAAGATACTTACCTCCATATCAATAATGTGCAAGTGTGTATGCACACATGCAGAGAACTTTTGCTTACCTGTAAATCTGTAACAGTCTGAGAGGAAAGTAAAATGCAGAGAAATACACTGTATTTCTTAGGCAAATTGTGTATAAATTCAGGCTGTAGCCTGAAAGACCTAATAGTATTCTCCAATCATAGCTTATTTTGATTAGTAATGTGCCAGCAATGGCGACTCAAGGTGACTTTTGTAGCAATGTAACATTCCAAGCAGCCACTAATCTCTTCAGTCAGTGTGAAGAAAGCAGTCAAAGCAAAGGAGGCAGCATCACCCGATGCCTGAAAGATCAAATCGTATTTGATTTGAACCAAACTACTTGATGCAGTTGGTCTGGGATGACTTCTTCTGGTTTAGTCATAGTGCAGTACAATGAATGAAGCCAACTTCTTTCACCTTGTGTAGCTGCAGTAATGATTTTTGGCATGCTGTTTTGTAGGCCAATTTGTTCCAGCTCAGTCTTGTGATGCCAAGCTGAACTGGATGAGGCATCTAGGTTACCTCTCCAGGAAAGGAGTCAAAAATAAGAAGAAACATCACCCTTTCCCCCAAAAAGGAGAAGATAGTGGACTGAGGCGTACTGCTCTTCAAAAGACCATAATGCTTCCCATCTATGGAAAATGGCCCAGAGAAAGAAATGTATTCTTAAGCAATGCAGAAGCCCTGTTGCTCCAAACCGCATGCAAGACGTAAGTAATAATGAAATGGCTTTGAATTTGCCAGGAAAGGCCATCCACAGCTGCAATGATGTGAGGTTATCCCAGAGAGCAACATTAACCACACTTGCACAAGCACACAATGTTTCCTTAGTTGAATCCTGAGAGCAAATAAGAAATTGAGAATATCTCTTCTGCTTTTGTGCTCTCAAGCAAAGTATTTGTGAAAACAATTATTTAACATGGTAGGGATGTCTGTGAGCCTTGTCCTATCTAGGGTTTGTCCAGTTTAGATGCAGATAATAGCAATCTGACATTACTATAATTCTGTTAAACATCATTGCCTTTTGACCTCTCCCAACACTGTTTTCTTTTCTGAAAATCATTAAGCTTATACTGGGCAAAGCAGCAGACTGTTACAACTCCCTGATTTTCTCTCAGCTTTCCAGCTATGACATAATTTAGAGCAGCCGCCTCTAAAAATGTAGCAAGACCTTAGACTGGCCTTGAATGAAATGAACTGAAGTCACATCAGTCACACCAATGCAAAGTAAGCAAGAAAAGAATAAACCAAGTATCCCAGTGAAATATTTTTTTTCTCCTCCAAAGCTATTGTTTAAAGGTAAACTCCCACAACTAATTATACTGTATTGTAGTCTTTCAGGTGCGTATGGTATTTCAGTTCCCAATTTTAACCTGCCTAATTTGGTGCTGAAGAAAGCCCTGAAAGTAAACAGGTAAGAATACCAAAATTGATAGTGTCTGAGCAAGTCTGAAACAAGAATTTTTTTCTGAAATCCAACCTATCTTTCCATTAATTTAGTCTTCTTGTTGCCAAAGATTATTTTCTCTGGCCATTTCAATCGATGCTAACCATGTAAATCCTTTGGGGATTAATGGAAGAGAGACTTATGTGTTGCCAGACCACAGATGAGCTCATAGCCACACAAGGAAATTAATTAATAAGGAAAGACTGAGATGCATTAGTTTCAGTCAATTTGCACATTCCAGGGATCACTAGTAAAGTAACTGTTGTCATAATATTTTTTCTTTTAATATTAAAAAGTATTCAGACCACACAACTGAATTCTGCCCTACAGAATCTTCAAAATTCTGTGCTACAGGATGTACATGTGTAATTCCATTCACTTGTCTGCTAGACACATGTGCGTTGCAGGGCATAATTTGGCCCATCATTATGTTTTCCTAACATAAATTAACATTTTTCCCAAGCCACCAAGCCAAACACAACAATAACTACTGCCAGTATCTCTACAGTAAGATCTAAATATAAACTCATGGGCTATAAGATGCTTACCATAGTGTTGTAATTTGGATCAATATTGAAGGTTGGAGAAGTGCTGCACATTTTGGAGAGCTGCCTGTCATTCTTTGCTTTCCTTAGAACATCATAAATGGGTTTTGGAGGTTTCTGATCATGTAGAATTTCTTTCAGCTGGCTTTCCAGGCGTTGTGGGGCATCATTAACTACTTCAAAAACCCCAAAGTCAGAGTTAAACTTAACTGGCTGGGCAAAAGTCTGCAAAAGAAGTTTAGGAAGTTTATAACGTAATAAGGGAACTCTCATTTAAGAAAGTTACTTTTTATAGTATAGAAGCATCTTACAGAATGCAAGCTGGTATTATGAGGCTTCTTTCTCTTGCCTGCTGTAGTTTATGTTTAGGGCTTGGAATAGTCATTTTTCTGCATTCTTGTTCTTTAGTCTCTTCGCTGCATAGCTTTCCAAAGCATTGCTACTTTTTGTCTCAGTTATGCTTAATTGTCAAGAATTTAACTCGCTCTATATCACAGACCATTCTTTTTCACATACAAATAATAGATCCAGTACACAGATGTCTAGAATCATAGAATCATTTAGGTTGGAAAAGATCTTTAAGATCATCCAGCCCAGCCATTAACCTAACATTACCAAGTCCAACACTAAACCAATTAAGGGTAGAGTAGTAATTTCATGTTTCCTGGCTTGGTAGCTGGATTATTTTTTAATGAAAGTAAAAACTAGGAACTATTAAGGTTGGAAAGGATCTCTAAGATCATCACTCCAACCATCAACCCAACACCACCATGCCCACTAAACGATGTCCTGAAGTGCCACATCTACCCGTTTTTTGAATACCTCCAGGGATGG